GCTACTTACCTTCCTTGGGGCTGGCCCGTACTTGGGGCTGATTCCCCCCCATGGGAATTTTTCACATGGTTCAGGACCTGTAAATCCAGGATTTTCCTTACTTCTAAACAGACTTGTCTGGACACATGGAACTCACCAACATAAGTTTAATAACTGTTGCTGGTTCAAATTATATATTTGTCTTAACTTTGACCAATATCCAAAGCTAATTACATTACTCCCAGTATACTTAAGTTCCATTAATCCAGTTTCATTTATCATGGGCTTCAAAGGTTTGACTTAAGTAAGTCTAGAGTTAAGATTCCCTAATCTAGGGGTTTTCAGCAGATTTTGGTAGTGGAAGACATGCAGTCATACAACAACTATGGCGGATTCTCCTGAATGACTTGATCAGTTGCAAAACTAAATTTCCTTTACAGACAGCAGCAGATAGTATATAATTATAACATCTATAATTTTCATCTTAGAAGAGTTATATCAATAATATTTTCTAAAGGGTTTCTATAATTATTCTCGCAAAAGAAAATGTCATTCTATGAAAAGTGTTCATTTTAAACAGAGAAAAACGGTTAACCTTAGGGGGCTCAACCTTTACATAAGTCAGTCTTGTTTCCCAGGTGCAGTCCATCAATGAATTTTTGTCAACTGGAGTTTGAGCTCCCCAGTCAGGACAGAGGTCTGCTTATGTTGATCAGATTATGGTGTCCACTTGTGAGTAGTGGATCCAGGAGCTGATTCCTTCCACCTTCAGTGCAGTATAAGTTTTCAGCAATACAGTGTAGGTCCTTTGCACTTTTCTTTCAGTGGGACAAACTTCCATGTTCACCCAAAGACATTGTCTCTCGGTTGGAATGGTTGTACTGGTATGTCCAAAGGAAGGAGAGCCTTTTGATTTAGGTACCTGTGTAGGGAAAAGAAAGTCTGCAAAAGAGAAATCAAATATTCTTTAATTGTAGCCTGTCCTTTTATATGCATTTGCTCTCCCTTAACATTCAAAAAGTTTGTAGAAAATTGTCCTGGGTTTAGCAGTAGCAGTCAATTTTTCTCCTTCTTGGTAGCTGTGCAGCGCTGTGTTTTGACTTCCAGCCTGGGAACAGTGCTGATAATACCAATGTTTTCAGTTGCTGCTAAGTAATGTTTACCCTGACCAAGGACTTTGTGAGGCTCATGCTCTGCCAGGGAGGAGGGGAAGACGGGAAGAAGCAGAGACACGGCACCTGACCCAAGCTAGCCAAAGAGGTATTCCATACCATAGCACATCATGCCTGGGGTGGTAACTGGGAGTTACCCGGAAGGACACAGGCTTCTGGGTCGGAGTAATTTCTTGGCAGGTGGTACTGTATTCTCTTCCCTTGTTATTTTCTCTTATTGTTGTCGTTGGTGGTAGCGGTGGTGATTTGTGTTGTACATTGGTTGCTGGACTGTTCTTGTCTCAACCCGTGGGAGTTGCACTCTTTCGATCCTCCTCCCCATCCCTCCGGGAGCGGGGAAGGGGAGAGCCCCGGGAGGGGGGGCCTTGATTGCTTCCAGCCCGGCACCACTCACTGGGAGTGAGTGAACAAGATGTCTGGCTAGGGTTTAAACCACGACAAGTATGATTTCCCAAATACAGTTTCAAAGGGGCTGTCCTGGGTTCAGCTGTAACAGATATTATCCTCTTTCCTAGTAGTTGGTGCAGTGCTGTGTTTTTGACTTTAGTCTGAGAACAAGGCTGATAACACACCAGTGTTTTGGTTGTTGCTAAGTAATGCTTACTCGGATCAAGGACTTTTCAGTCAGGTGTTGTGGGTCTGATTGTAAGCCCTCTCTGTCATGTGACCCTGAAGAAGAATGATTTCAGATGGGGCCCTGAGCAACAACAAACCTCTGAACAAATTAAATGAGAGATAGCCCATGCCCTTGGACCAGGCCAGACCAGGCCATATGTAAAAAAATGTGCTCTACACCACAGCCGGGGAGAATGGTCCTACCTGGAGCCTCTGGCAGAAAGCTCCAGGGGACACTCGAGGTAGACCCCTCAGCTTTTGGAGTCAGGGACACAGAGGATCTGAGGGCGGCTATACTCCAACTGAAAAAGAGATACTGGTAGCCTATGAAAGGGTTCGAGCTGCTTCGGAAGTGATTGGCACTGAAGCACAGCTCCTCCTGGCACCCCAGTTGTCCCTGTGGGCTGGATGTTCAAAAGGAAGATCTCTACACATAATGAAAGTGATGCTGCATGGAGTAAGTGTGTCACAGTGATCACACAAGGAGCTCAAATAGGAAATCCCAGTCATCCAGGAATCTTGGAAGTGATTATGGACTGGACAGAAGGCAAAAGTTTCAGAATGTCACCAGAGGAAGAGGTGACACATGCCTCATTTACTGATGTGTCCTGCCACACTGTAGGAAAGCATCAGAGATGGAAGGCAGCTGTATGGAGTCCCCTACTACAAGTTACAGAAACTGCTGAAGGAGAGGGTAAATTGAACCAGTTTACAGAGGTGAAAGCCATCCAGCTGGCCTTAGACATTGCTGAACAAGAAAAGTGGCCAGTACTTTATCTCTTTACTGACTCATGGATGGTGGCAAATGCCCTGTGGGGGTAGTTGCAGCAATGGAAACAGAGCAACTGGTAACACAGAGGTAAACCCATCTGGGCTGCTGCACTGTGGTAAGACATCACTGCCTGGGTGCACAACCTGGTGGTGAAGGTACTCCATGTAGATGCTTGTGTACTCAAGAGTCGGGCCACTGATGAACACCAGAACAACCAACAGGTGGATGAAGCTTCTAAGATTGAAGTGGCTCAGATGGACTTAGATTGGCAACATAAGGAGAGGTTATTTTTGGCCCCATGGGCCCATGACACCTCAGGCCATCAAGGCAGAGATGCAACATATAGATAGGCTCGTGATCAAGGGGTAGACTTAATAATGGACACTATTGCCCAGGTTATTCACAAATGTTAAATGTGCTGCAATTAAGCAAGCCAAGCGGTTAAAGCCTCTCTGGTATGGAGGACAATGGCTCAAGTAGAAATATGGGGAGGCCTGGCAGATTGACTATATCACACTCCCACCAACCCACAAAGGCAAGCACCATGTCCTTGCCATGGTGGAAGCAACCACAGGATGTCTGGAAACATACACTGTGCCCCATGCCACTGCCCGGAACACTATCCTGGGCCTTGAGAAACTTATTTTGTGACAACACGGCACCACAGAATAAATTGAGTCAGCCAATGGGACTAATTTCCGGAACAACCTTATAGACACTTGGGCCAAAGAACATGGCATTGAGTGGGTATATCACATCCCCTAATATGCACGAGCCTCTGAGAAATTCGAACGGTACAATGGGCTGTTAAAAAATACAGAGAGCAATGGGTGGTGGGACTTTCAAACATTGGGATACACATTTACCAAAGGCCACCTGGTTGGTCAACACCAGAGGATCTGCCAACAGTGCTAGCCAAGCCCCAGTCAGAACTTTTACATACTGTAGAAGGGGACAAAGTTCCTGTGGTACACATAAAAAATTTGCTGGGGAAGACAGTCTGGGTTATTCCTGCCTCAGGTAAAGGCAAACCCACTCTTGGGATAGCTTTTTCTCAGGGACCTGGATATACTTGTTGGGTAATGCAAGAAGATGGGGAAGTCCAATGTGTACCTCAAGGGGATTTGTTTTTAGGGGAAAAACAGCCAGTGAACTCAATTATATGCTGTTGCCTGGTATGTAGCACTTTTATAGCCCACCAACTAGATGTCTTCAGGTCAGCAGCAACTGGACCTGACTTCCCTCGGACCATTATCCCAACATAGAATGAACTTTGATTAAACCAGACGAGCTCTGCAGTGACCAGACGAGTTCCGTGGTATCATCAAAGTTCATTTCACACAGCCCGCTCCCTCACTCCCCCCTTTCCTCCCCCCCTGCTCCCGGAGGGACGGGGAGGAGAATCAAAAGAATGTAACTCACACAGGCTGAGATAAAAACAGTCCAGTAACTAAGGTATAACACAAACCCACTACTGCTACCACCAATAATAATAATGATAAGGGATATAACAAGGGAAGAGAATACAACTGCTCACCACCCGCCGACCAATACCCAGCCCGACCTGAGCAGTGATCTAGCCCTTCCGGGTAACTGCTCCCAGTTTATATACTGGGAATGATGTGCTGTGGTAGTGAATCCCTCTTTGGCTAGTTTGGGTCAGGGGTTCTTTCTCTGCTTCCTCCCGGCTTCCCTCCTCCCTGGCAGAGCATGAGACTCAGAAAGTCCTTGGTCAGACTAAACATTTGAGCAGTAACTAAAAACATCAGTGTTATCAGCACTGTTCCCAGGCTGAAAATAAAAAAACCCCAGTGCTGTACCAGCTACTAAGAAGGAGAAAAATGACTGCTACTGCTGAACCCAGGACAGTATCCACCCATTGTTCCATACCATTCACGTCATGCTCAGATCCCACATTTTCAATACACCATCATTCTTATCTCAGTGCACTCTTATTGCATGGACCAGTGCCTATAAAGCTGCTGAGTCCATTCGGTCCAAGATGTCGGGCTCCATCTCTTGTAGCAGTCTTTCAGAGCAGGAGAGGCTGTGTGGAGTGTTCACACTCGTGAATCACCTGGGCAATAGTGTCCATTGCTAAGTCCACCCCTCGATCATGAGTCCATCTCTATGTTGCATCTCTGTGTTGCAGCCCACCAGGCTCAAAATAATTCACCCTCCACTGCAGAAGTTTCTGCAACTTGTCACTGGGGACTCCGTACAGCTGCCTTCCATCTCCAATGCTTCCAAAGCACTGGAGGGGCCCAGTGGACTAGATATTAGCCCATATTGTCCCACACACCCTGCCACTCATGACTGTCCAGCCTTGGCGAAAACCTCTCTGTCCTCCTATATCATTGTCTAACCCTAGACAAGACCCAAAGCCAAGTCTACTTAAATTTCGAGATCAGAAAAAATGGTCATGGGTAAAACACAGTCTGTATGTGTGCCAACATGCTGATCCCTATCACAATCAGCAGGCAGGTCCCAAGGGACCAAAAGGACATTCAAAACCTTCAGAACTCTCAAATGATGCTGCTGTACTTGTCACTGGGGCTGGTGTAGCTGCTGTGCTTGCCAGCTCTCACCACCAGCTTCTCTTTTTCTGAGTCCAGATCTTCCTCCTCTGCCTTGCTGGAAAATGCTGTCTGGTCTCCTGCATCCTCCATTTGTCCCGGGTGCCCAGGGCTGGGACCAGCTGAGGCTCCCACAGGTAGTATCTTGCTCTCCGCATCCTTCTGGGGCTTGGGCTCGTGGGGCTCGGCGGGCGGCTCCCGGGGGATGCTCTTGGCCGCCGCGGGGCTGGACTCGGCCGCGGGGCTCGGCTCCTCTGTCGCCTCCTCCCACTGCTCGGCAGCCGCCTCCTTCCCCTCCTCGACTGCCCCGACCTCCTCCACCGGCAGCCGCACCCTCCTGGCCTCCGGTCCCGCTCCTGCCGCCGCTGGGTCCCTGGGGCCGCTCTCCCGGGCTGCTCCGGCTGCCGGCAGCTCCGCGGGCCATTCCCCCTTGGCTCCCCGCAGCCTCACGAAGACAGAGGTAAGGACAAGGGCCAGGACGGTGAAGAGCAGTGGAACAGCCAGGTATAAATCCATGGCCAAGTCCATCCCACTCTGCTGCTGGAGCTCGCCCGTATTACAAATCATTACCATAAAGTACAATGAAACAAGAACCTTAGCCCAAGGCCCCCAGCCAATAAACACTAACACAGCAAATACCGGCTGTAAGTAAGGTCCGACATGCTGAAACTGTGAGATCAAGAGCAACAACTTTGAGAGCCAATAAATCAGCATTGTGATGACTATTAATCCAAAAAAATAAACACTTATCACAAATACGATTAGACACACTCTGGTCAGATCTGCAGATATCTCAACACTTTGTGCCCCATGTTGGGTGCCAAAAAAGAAATGTTGTGGTTTAAATCCAGTCAGCCATGTATCAGCCATGTGGTCTCTCTCTCCCTCCCCCCCCTTTCTTTCCCTCCCCCCGCTCCCAGAGGGATGGGGAGGAGAATCAAAAAGAATGTAACTCCCATGGGCTGAGATAAGAACAGTCCAGTAACTAAGGTATAACACAAATCACTACTGCTACCACCAATAATAATGATAAGGGAAATAACAAGGGAAGAGAATACAATACCACCCGCCAATACCCAGCCCGACCGAGCAGTGAACTAGCCCTTCCGGGTAAATCTCAGTTACATCCTGGTCATGACATGCTGTGGTATGGAATACCAATTTGGCCAGTTTGGGTCAGGGGTCCTGTCTCTGCTCCCTCCCGGCTTCCCCTCCTCCCTGGCAGAGCATGAGACTCAGAAAGTCCTAGGTCAGACTAAACATTTGAGCAGAAACTAAAACCATCGGTGTTATCAGCGCTGTTCGCAGGCTGAAAGTCAAAACCACAGTGCTGCACCAGCTACTAAGGAGAAAAAAAGACTGTTACTGCTGAACCCAGTACTGGGACCGGTATTATTTAATATATTCGTCAATGATTTAGATGAGGGAATTGAGTGTACTATCAGCAAGTTTGCTGATGACACTAAGCTGGGAGGAGTGGCTGATAGCCAGAAGGCTGTGCTGCCATCCAGCGAGACCTGGATAGGCTGGAGAGTTGGGCAGGGAGTAACTTGATGAAATATAACAAGGGAAAGTGTAGAGTCCTGCATCTGGGCAGGAACAACCCCAGGTTCCAGTATAGGTTGGGAAACGACCTGTTAGAAAGCAGTGTAGGGGAGAGGGACCTGGGGGTCCTAGTGGACAACAGGATGACCATGAGCCAACACTGTGCCCTTGTGGCTAAGAAGGCCAATGGCATCCTGGGGTGTATTAGAAGGGCGGTGGTTAGTAGGTCGAGAGAGGTCCTCCTTCCCCTCTACTCTGCCCTGGTGAGACCGCATCTGGAGTATTGTGTCCAGTTCTGGGCCCCTCAGTTCAAGAAGGACAGGGAGCTGCTGGAGAGAGTCCAGCGCAGGGCAACAAAGATGATTAAGGGAGTGGAACATCTCCCTTATGAGGAAAGACTGAGGGAGCTGGGTCTCTATAGTTTGGAGAAGAGGAGACTGAGGGGTGACCTTATCAGTGTCTATAAATATATAAAGGGGGAGTGTCACGAGGACGGAGCCAGGCTCTACTCAGTGGCAAACAATGATAGGACAAGGGGTAATGGGTACAAACTGGAACACAAGAGGTTCCACTTAAACTTGAGAAGAAACTTCTTCTCAGTGAGGGTGACGGAACACTGGAACAGGCTGCCCAGGGAGGTTGTGGAGTCTCCTTCCCTGGAGACATTCAAAACCCGCCTGGACGCATTCCTGTGTAACATTATCTAGGTGTTCCTGCTCTGGCAGGGGGATTGGACTAGATGATCTTTCGAGGTCCCTTCCAATCTCTAACATACTGTGATACTGTGATACTGTAATTATGAAGAGCATTGCCAGCAGGTTGAGGGAGGTAATCCTCCCTCTCTACTCAGGCCTGGTAAGGCCTCACCTGGAGTACTGTGTCCAGATCTGGTTTCCCCAGCACAAGAAAGACATGGAACTCCTGGAGCGAGTCTAGTAAAGTGCTACTAGAACAATTAAGTGTCTGGAGCATCTCTCATATAAGGAAAGGCTGATGGAGCTGAGTCTGTTCAGTCTAGAGAAGATCTGATCAATGTGTATAAGTATCTGAAGGGATGGTGTCAAGAGGATGGGGCCAGACTCTTCTTGGTGGTGCCAGGCAATAGGACAAGAAGTAATGGGCATAAACATAAACACAGGAAGTTCCACCTGAGCATGAGGAAGAATTTCTTTATGTTGAGGATGACTAAGCACTGGAACGGGCTGCCCAGTGGGGTTATGGAGTCTCCCTCATTGGAGATGTTCAAAAGCCATTTGGACATGATCCGAGGTAAGCAGCTCTATGTGGCCCTGCTTGAACAAGCAGGTTGGACCAGATGACCTCCAGAGGTCACTTACAACCTCAAACATTCCATGATTCTAAGGATGGAGGCCCCAAGACAGAAATGCATGCAGATGTAGAAACTTGGCTTTTGAGGCAAGCTAAAATGTCCTTAAGTAATCTGTGAATGAGAGTCCACACCCTTAAATAACACATTCAAGATATATAGGCTCTAATTTCTTTCAAAGACACGGAGATATACAAGTTAGAGCTACTGCCAAAGCTCACAGTTCCACTTTCAGCCTCACTGCATGTCAGATGAACAATAACTCTGGTACCTTCTGTGTAGAATCACTATGAAAACATTACCTTTGTGTGCTGAGCCCAGACAGCTGAGCACATCCCATGCTTAAGTTTGCAACCCATCATGTTTCATCTAGACCCAAATCTCATCCAGATCAAATGGCATGTTTCTTCCCCAGTCATTTCCCAGACAAAGTATTTGCTAAGGAACTGACTGTCCTTTCCCTGCTACATCAGTAATAACTTTGTCCCTCTCAATAAACAGGAACAATGACCCAATCAGAGCCAATAGTCTTAACTCCCACAAAATAGAAAAGCTTCCAATAGGTGAAGCTGTGTCATGGTTTAAGCCCAGCTGGTAACCCACAACCACACAGCCGCTCGCTCACTCCCTCCCTTCGCTCCCAGAGGGATGGGGAGAAGAATCGAAAGAATGTGAACCCCACGGGTTGAGATAAGAACAGTCCAGTAACTAAGGGATAATACGAAACCACTACAGCTACCACCAATAATAATAAGGGAAATAACAAGGGGACAGAATACAATTGCTCACCATCTGCTGACCGATATCCAGCCCGACTCAAGCAGCAATCTGGGCTTTCTGGGTAACTCCCCCCAGTTTCTATCCTGGGCATGACGTGCTGTGGTATGGACTACCCCTTTGGCTAGTTTGGGTCAGATGTCCTGTCTCTGCTTCCTCCCGTCTTCTTGTGCCCCTCCTCACTGGCAGAGCATGACACTGAAAAGTCTTTGATCGGAGTAAATATTATTTAGCAACAACTAAAACATTAGTGTGTTATCAGCACTGTTCTCAGGCTAAAGTCAAAAACACAGCACTGCACCACCTACTAAGAAGGAGAAAAATGACTGCTACTGCTGAACACAGGACAAGCTGGTAAAGGCTAACAACATTATAGAAGTGAGAGAACCAAGACGCTCCTATGGGAAGAACAAAGCCTCATTTCCAGAATAAACTACCCAGTGGAAGTAGTGACAACCATAAAGGCTTTCTACTGAGAGGTTTATTAGGTCTGACAGTCTCCAGAACCAATTATAATACTAGTAAGATGTAGTTAATCACTTCACCTCCTGGCCATCCCATTTGACTGATTACTTTAAAGTCCCTAGAGATGTTTAAGTTAAAATGTAATTTCATTCTGTTGCATGTTCCACCCACCTCCTGCAAATGTCTGGTTCTGGCACAGTACCAAACAAATGAAAAACTTGGTTAAATCAGATTAGAAGAGTTGCAATAATGTGAATTGCACCATGCATACTAAACATAAGTACCCACAAGCACCTAAAACAGGACTCATTCCTCAACAGCTTCAAAAAAGTTCACATCTCTTCCCATTTTTATATATGAATATGCCCTTATTTCCCCAAAAGGGATGATTTTTGCAGTGTTTGTAAGCTCAGTATCAGCATTATGCTAAGGACAGCTACAGAGCTTTCAGTCAGCACAGAATGCAGTTAAAAGACCAAGATGACCTAACAGTCTCACTGGTCTCCAGAACTAACATACACACACAGGAGTCAACATTCTAACACAGGCAGAATCTCATTTGCCATCTTGCAAGACTCAGTCTAAGTGCACATGGGCACCCTCCCCTCCCCTGCAAAATTCAACGTCTGAGCTCTCTATTCATAAATATAACCTTTCTGTAAAGGTTGCCACAGGCTGTACCACATTTTTGGGAAAATAAACTTCTCTCACACAAATGCACAGTATTCAACAGACTTCTTGTGAATGCCAAGTATGCCAGATGCTAGGGTCCTCTTTTCTGAAGCAGTTGGTCTTAAGGCAGGAAATTATGTGATATCCCCCCTCTCGGCTCCACTTGAAAAGTTCTCAAAAGCTATTTTCACTATAGCCCACAGCATTACGAAAATAAACAGCATTTTGAAAGTAACAAACAAAAAATAAAAAAAAACCCTGGGAAACATTCTTTCAATGAACACTTCCCTACAAATACTCAGCAGAGTGCTAGAATGACACTCTCCCAGTCACTGTTTGGTATTATTTCTAAGCTAACAAACAAAATGTAACACACTTGTGATTCTTAGAGAAGTTAATGCAGTAACTAAATTTAATTTGAAATGTAAGCCAGCAGATACTCAGATTTTAATAATAAGCATGGACAGTAAGTTCATAGGTTTTCCAAGTGTTTTGTGTAAAAGCAGAATGGAGTTTGCAAACCCTGCAATGCAAACATCCTCAATAGACCAGCTATATATATTTTTAAAAATAAAAATAGTCATTAAGATAGTTTTTAAACAAGTCTTTTCTAGAAATTCTATGAATCTATAAGCTTAAATGCTTAAACACTACTATACACTGCACAGAATACACACTTTTTAAAAAGTGCTTATGTAAATTGGCCAGGGTTTCACCATGAAATGTCTTTGCATACAGTTGTGAAGGACAGTTTAATTTCAGAATTTCTTCTACAGCTATCTGGATAATACATCATCATCAAAGAATTAACTGAACCACAGCCCTTAAAATGCTTTATTGAACTGAGTCGTTCTGTAATGTGCAGAAGTTGTGTCCAAAAAGACTTCAGTTTGATTTTTTTTTCTTTTTAACATCCTCAACAATCAAATA